CAATAGATCTGTACATGTATGAGCAATAAAAAATAGATTAAATCTACAGTAAATTATAACTAATATTGTGGATAAAATGCTTGATTAAAGCAGGCTACATTGTAGCTGTACATGCACTCAACATAGCTTCATCACATATTGATTTGAAATGTTGATGTTTTAGAAGCTTGATGTATAAAGCTGAATACATCAAAATAAAATAATATTACTGAATGCTTGTGTATAAATGGTTAATATTATTATATTTCCCATCCCAGAGAGCAGAATTTGTCAAAACATTTCCAGAATACTTTGTGTTCAAATGAAATGCTTTTCATGTTTTGGGTATTAAATTTCAGACAATACAGATAACCTTTACAAAATCTGTCACACAGTGCCTCTGGATGTTCATTTACAGCAAGCAGTACTGTAAATCTGTACTAGCATGCCACATAACATTGAAATGAAAATATAACGCTAGATTAGACATGATTAAACTGAGCAAAGAGGTTTCATTGACATCTGAGCACAGAAAAGAGGAATCTTGATGGCAAAATGCAAATTATGACTAAAAAACTGAATTGCATGAGGCATTCAAGTCCAGTACGTAGCAATTATTTTTCACTGTGTGCACTGAAGTGAAACAATCACATTTCAAAAGCTACAGTAAAGTATACAAAAAAAATGTCTGGGTCCCAAAACGTTTTGAACCAAGCTAGCATTACACTACTTGTGAGCCAAGGCTTTTTATATATATGTAGTTTACATAATTATGTAGATGTGTACAAGATTTACAACATGAAATTTCCATGTCACTTTATATCTTCGACATTCACAATGATATTATAAACACAGAAGACTGTGTTTCAAAGCAAAATATTTAGTACATAAATAAGGTTTTCTGTCTTGTGGTTGGCCTATATAACTCAATGCCACAAGGTTACAACATCATCACAAGCTCTGAACAGATTCAATTTAACTGTTATAATTACACATCAACCTATATATTTCTCAAGAAATACTACAAATGTTTTACCCATAGAATACTTTGATTTCGTGATAAAAGCGTCAATCTTGTGATAAACTGTTCCAGGATATTAACACAAGAATCAAACCAAGTCATTTCTCAACTGACAGTAACACACAATTTCACGAGATTGTCAGCCATGTTGAGTATTAGGGATAGCAATCTAAACACACACATACACACTGACTATTCTTTGAGGTTTCAGAGAAATTTCTGTGCATTACCCAGTCTGTTCCACGATGAACAGGCGCTTGTTACAGCTAAATACACCCTCTAAATACAAAATAATTATAAAGGAAGGCAGAGGATGTGTAAAAGTGAAATAAAACTCATAAATACCAAGTTGAGGACTGTTTCTTTGAACCCACCGTTCCCATATTTCTGTATTCTATTAGCATTGGACCAGGTGGTTATGATGCATTTTGCTCCCATGTTCTGTATTTCTAGATTTTCCATTGAACATTTTGCTTTGAAACTGTCCTGCTACAGTTCTACAAGGGATGGAGTCATGAAAAAACCTAGAAAACTCATCCTGCTTCTATTTTTTGCCTGAATATTTTGCTTTCAAGGTAATATATCAGGTAGAACTACAGGACTCCATATATGGTAGTGGGCTATTGTTTTAAATAATGCCAGCTGTGTTTGAAGTCCAAGCCTCCAGTCTTGCATAAATTAAGCAGAATTATTATTATAATGTCAAAAATGTTTAATGGCCTACAACAGTTTCCATCTAGAGATCGCAAAATTCATGCAAGTTATTTTATTTAACACAAAATTTTTAACAATGTCAAATTTTATTGATCATTACCGCTGAAAAAAATTTGCATGGAAAAATATACTATAATTACAACCACTTTGTAACAGGGAGAACTAGCTTTCTTCTCTGCTACATTTATTCAACAGGCAAGACACAGGGCTCCAAAATAATATTCAAAAGCACATTGAAATAAATGCTGGCCCCAAACCCATTTCGTTCCTTTCGGTTAGCGACTACTGAGAAGCCATCAATCAACTTGTAACATACATAAACCAAACACAACTGTATGCATTATTTATAACTTGGTTTCATAGGAACTGGGTGAGTTTTGACTGGAATGTAAAAGTCTAGGTGTTCCTTAATATTGTTCCAGACAAGGAAGAAAATTCAGTGTGAAAAATGACCTGTTTCACAGTGTTTTGGAGCAGAAAATTTCAACTTAACACACAACGTGGATAATTGACAAAGAAACCTTATTCAAAACCTTGTTATGCTGGGCTGGAAAGGGAGGTATGTAAATTTCACGTCCAAAGAAGGTGAATTGTTTACATTCAACAAAGTGCAAATTACTAAAAAACATTCAAGATTCTAAAGCCTTGCAGTTATCAATAGGTTAGCCAATTAACGATTATTAATACTTCTGAAATTAAAAAGAAAAACATGCACTTGTTCTATTTACGTCTACTCCCTGATTTTGTGGCCATTTCTTGTGACACATGCATCCTTACTTAACTAATTAATCTCTTTCTACTTGAAAAATAAGATAACACTATTTCCACATTTGCCAGTAAAAAGCTCCATTAATTAACAACAGGCAGATTCGTGAAGGCAAAGTCTAATCACAAAAGCTATTGTTTTGGAAGCAGTTTGAATCCCCTCGGGGGTCATATATGGATGACAATTACAATAACAACAGTGAAAAATCATTTCTATTATTTGACGTAAAGAAAGCACGGTTTAAGCTGGTACAGAGAAAATTAACCACACTTTTAAACAAAGATAAATCAAAATAAACTTCAGCATTACAGGTTATTTCATACAATCGACATTGATCATCATAAATGAAATAAGTATAAGGCTATTTAAAGCAGTTAGAATCAGGTGTATTAAAAAAATAGTAAATAACTGTTTTTAGATGATTTGTTATTGTCACGTTGACCCAACAGCTTTGTCATTAGAAACATTATTTGTCATTATTTAAGGTAAATATCAACAAGTAGTTTGCAAGTAATAAACACAACACTAAATTGCCGCTGAAAATAAGCAGCTGCTTGTATATTATTGTACATGTAAGTCCACAACAGGTACATGTAGATTTGTAAACATATTTTTAACTGACCTATGATTATAACTATCAAAGATAGAGATAATGCAAATAAAACAAATTATAATTAGGATCCATATTTTATCGGTAGCCCTGGTTAATGCAAATAATTTTTAAAATGTAAATAAATAATGTTACAAAGCAAAGAAACCAATTTCACAATTAAAAAAATCACCCCAAACTCCTCCCTCAAATAATTGCCCTCTCCCCCTCCCCCATCCAGAACACAACTCCCACCAAAAAAATACAAGAGAAAATATATGACCCAAAAATACTCCTAAAAATCAAAATTTGATTTTTTGTGGGTATTATTTTATAATACCCACAAAAAAATCCTTGACATATCCTACCACTAAATTGTATTATCATAAATAAATACATTTAAAAAAATGATATTTTAGAACCTCCCCTCCCATTCCCCTCCCTCTCCCTCTCCCCTCCACCACTTCCAATATATTCATTTACAGATGTTTTTAGGGTCAGTCACACTCCCCCCACCATGTCTGCTCAAACAAGTGTACCATTCCATTACCATTGTCTTGACGAACCAATAGAATTTGTTTCGCTGTCTAGATGCAGCCAATGTAGCTACAATCAGCTTACAATTTAGCAACTACAATGGAATAGTGAACTTCCCCTAATGGACACCTCCCATAGGCTGACAGTCCTCCCAAGTGGACACTTAATCATGGTCCCATGCACAACCTCGTCCCCAGGGCCACCTCTGCTTTCAAGATGGCGGGTGGGCACGAAGTAGACCCTGGCGAAGAGCAGGTCACATGTCTCCAAAAATATTGGAGATTTTGATTGTTTCAAAATGGCGGCGGGCTCGCGTTTGGCTAATTTTGTGGCCACGTGACCTGCTCTTCGCCAGGGTCTTCTTTGCGCCCACCCGCCATCTTGAAAGCGGAGATGGCCCTGGGGACGAGGTTGTCCCATGCAGGCACATACATGTAGAAACACTGATTTTTTTACCTCTATAAGCGGACACCTCTCCTAAGAGGACACCTTTTTCTGGTCCCAAGGGTGTCCCCTCAGGGCTAAAAATTAACTCCAGTGCTTGGTGGCCAGTCGGGCCAGTTTCCTTGAATTCTTAGTGGCCCAGGCCAAATTAAAGTGGCCCTTATTTTCCTCAAGTTGATCAAAAAAAACATATTTACTTAAATAAACGGTTTAATACTGCCGCCTCTTTACAAAGGGAGCAAAACGCGTTATCTTGGACAACAAACCACGGCCTCCCCTGAGTCCAGCTTTTCTGAAATTCCTGTTTCCTTTTCGTCTTTTCGTAGTTTTTGCTACTTTCTACGGCATCTTCCTTGGTTTTAGGTTTTTTTGGACGGCAGCGGCTCACATCCTTGGAGAAATCTCCACATTCTGTGGGTTTTACAAAACCTGGCGAGAAGTATGTTGACGATAAACATGCGAGACTCGAAAACGTGCCGCATAGAACTCTGGGTAAGACTGGAGTCACGTGGCAATAACAAATCAAAATGGCGTCCAGATATATTTGCGGATCGATCTAAATACTCGTGAAACTGTTAAATCGGCTCGTTAAGAACTAAAAATCCACTAAAGTCAATGAACTTAGAGTTGAGGAAAAGAAAGGAAAGGTAGTCCAATTTAACTACCGGTACATATTTTATTTTTATTTTAACTTCGTACTTTGCAACTTTTCTAAGCTTATATCGTAGTCGCCCTTCGGGCGATCAAGCCTCAACTTTTAGTCGCCCTGGTCAGTTTTAAATCGCCACTGGCGACCTGGCGACCGTTAATTTTTAGCCCTGTCCCCTTACGGGAAGTTCTACTGTATCACAAATTTGTTCCAAATATAAACGTTATACATTGAGATCTTGCTTCTGAGAAAGATATTTATTCTGTCAGTGACACAAGCTACTCGGAAAAAAAATTCTGAGTTCCCCCAACAGGAGTCAAATCTATGACTTTCCGCACACCGGTCGGACACTCTACCACTGAGCTACAGGAGACTTGTGGGAGGTTAGGCCAAATTATTATAACTAGGTACAAATGTGACAAACACCCCGCATACTGCTAGCTAGGATTAGATTTGTCGATGAATGAGAATTTGTGGAAATAAATGATGGTATATTTAAGCTTCTTGCTTCTGCTTACAAGTTCATTCTAAGTTTACATAAAACATACATGTATATGAAAATCATCCCAGCCTACAAAAAATAATATTGAATAGTTACAAGACTTAGTACTTAGAAATAGTCCACTGGTGAAAGCTAAAACCTTAAGAATCACTCGTAATTTTTGTCAAAGATCTACTACAAATGACTCTTGAAATTGATTCATTTAGCCTTTACTTTCCTTTGAAATACAGTCGAACCTTGTTATTTCAAACTCAGTTATTTCGAACTCCCCCACTATATCAAACTAATACCCATTTCCCTTGGATTTGCCCTTGTTTTTCACTACGTTTATTTCGAACTCGCTTATTTTGAGCTCCCCGTTATTTCGAACTACATGTATTTTTGTTTCCCTTGGCCTAAAATCAACCCTGTTTATTTCAAACTCTAATTACAAAGTTATGGACAAACATCAGACAACATCAGAACACAGCTGAAAGAGACTGATTACTTATTTACTGTATAACCTTTCATTGCACTTATTTTGCGATATGTCTGTCTTGTTCCATTGCGCACAGTATAGAAATTTGCTATTCCATAAAGAATGTACTGTCTATGCATGTATTGCCAATTTTATTGAAATAAAAATTGCATAAGGTACAAGTCAATCCATCATGTTAATTATTAGTGATTATTTTGATATTTAATGCTGACCTCGTTATTTTGAAACCCTGCTATTTCGAACTAGTTTTCGTGTTCCTTGAGAGTTCGAAAGAACGAGGTTAGACTGAACAAACACATGTAGGTCAATGTAATGATTGTGATTAAAGACTTTTTGTTTTAGTTTCCCTTGGACAGACCAACAATTTGGATGTGAGTACGAAATAAACTTGCGTGAATAAAAAGAAGCTGCGCAAAATCGCTACTGCTTCTTTGCTAGTATTCTGTTTCGAGAAATAAATCGTTTCCTCAAAAATTCCTATTCGAGTCACTCAAAAAATTATTTGAGTGACTCGCTTGATTCTCGAAAACTTTGAGGATCGAGGATCAAGTTTCGAGTCGAGACTGTCAACTTACATTTGCCCGGTACTGTATATAATAAGTTTTGCTTGACTATGTGTATCAAATAACTTTGGAAAATGAAAAACCCATTATCTTAATTATTTGAAGCTGTTGAACTTTATAAACTAATAATTTAGTTGATCAGCAGTTCATGTTATTCGGCAGAAAGTTGTATAATTGGGTATTTTTATGAGTCAGTTTTTTTTCCCAAGCTTTTTTGGGCGAGAAAAAAATAAAAACTGATGAGTAAATTAAGATGCCCACCAATATTATACAACTTTTCGCTGACTAAATTGTTTATAAGACAACATTATTCTTTGAATCTTAAAATATAGGCTTTGAACAGTGTTTTCCGTAGCGTGCACGGTACTGGTCAGGAGGATTAAGAAGAGTGTAAGATGGTCTTATATTTCATTTTTGTACTAATTTTGGTGTGCATTCGCACTCTAAAATGCTATGTAATAAACTATTAAATTTTTATTATACAGACACATGTGTTTTACTGGAAAATAGACCACTCGTAAAATTCATACTAAACTAAATCCGGGACCCTAGTAGTGTATAATTTTTCCATATCCTCACTAGTGAGGATATAGATGATGTCATTTTTCCCCGCTTTTTGCATGGTCGTCTCTTTAAATTTGAATTAATTCATGTTTTTTGTCTAGATATACATGTACATTCATGTAATAAAAAGAATGAACGTGTTCGTAAAATATTGTTTTTACCACTCAAAAATAAAATTCATATCTTTGCGCCACCATGTAATATATGGAGGATATTACACGGCGGCGCGAACGAAGATATGAATTTTATTTTCGAGTGGTAAAAACAATATTTTACGAACGAGCACAGCGAGTGAGTAAAATATTGTTTAAACCACAAGAAAATAAAATTCATATCTTCAAGCCACCGTGTAATTTTCTTTTTATTATATAGACAAAAGACAAAAGCACAAACTTTATCGCGAACTCTTGCAGCTCGGTGGCTGGACTTACCGAATTTCTCTCCTTTCGTCTTCACTTGCAAGGAACTCCTTGAATAATTTTAAGTCATATGAAGTTTTCTTCTTCGTGTTAACATTTTCCTACTCCTCAGTGAACGATTTCATGTCGGCTTCAGTGAATTTCAGGTCATTTCACGAATCCATCGCTCGCCATTTTTCAACCGGAGTTTAGCAGCTTTGCACAAAAAACCATGCAAAAGCGGGAAATGACGTCATCGATATCCTCACTAGTGAGGATATGGAAAATACGCCACTCGGGTCCCGGATGTAGTTTCGTATGAATTTTACGAGTGGTCTATTTTCCAGTAAAACACTTGTGTCTATATAATAACCTCTATATATTTTTTAATTTAATATTTGCGACAAATTATTATGGGAATAATTAAAACAGATTTCTGGGTAATCGTCACATTGTGAAGTTAGGATACCCCTCCTGGGGCAGTCACTAAAAACCACAAAGGTCACCTTTGCAAACCCGAGTTCAGAAACATTCCAAAAAGTGCTATCAAATATTGATTTGATTGTATCATAGGTTTTTCAAACCTACAGTTACCTTAATTTGTCAGCACTCCAAAGGGCTGTTATAATCAGCAGTCTATTGAAAGCAGAGGTGGATCCAGGAATTTTTGGTAGGGATGGGGGGTTCCAGGGTTTTCCCGAAAATTTTAAGTCAAAGGAGAATTTTTGGAAGTAGATGGCAGTTATTTATTACTAAAAGGCGCCTTTCACGCAGTAGCAGCGTTCAGGGAAGGCATAGGAGGGGCAGATGGGGGTGCTCCCCTTGTGTTTTGGGGGGCCTCCCCAGAAAAATGCCGAGATTTCAGGATCTGAAAAGTGCATTTTGGTGGATCCTGGAGATGGTTTTGCTATGGAAAATGGTGAAAGCAATATAGGTGTACTCTTGACAGTGTCGTCAAATTTATGCCCTGTTATCTCATTATTATTTTTGACCTTGCTTTTGACAAAACTTTTACTGTAGTCAAGCAAAGCCATTTGTTTTGTCCAGGTGTGCACTATCCGTCCGTTTTTACCCGTTTAACGGATAAGCTTTAACGCACATTTTACTGTGCAGGGTCACATAATATTTTGAGTCCAGAAAAATTGATTATCATCATGGTACATGTAACGTTATTAATGCATACATGTTGTATAATGCATGTCAAATCATTTATTGCTGACAAAACTGTCTTCAAAACTTTACTTGTAAGTTATTTCAGGCCCGGGGGTGGGGGGTACTTCCTTATATAAGCTATATACATGTAGGTATGTGTAGCCCCAAAGGGTATGGTTTTTGAGCCGTTTTGGTCTGAAATAGGGTATAGATTTTGATCATTTTGGTCTAAAATAGGGTATATTTTGTGTACTCTGGACTGGAATTTGGTTTGGCTTTTAGATGAAACTATTTTTTGCCATTAAACATCAGGGAATTTGAAGCCCTTCTCAAATCTTTACGCAAACAGAACCCATTCCTGGGTAGCTGAGGTTGTGTATTAGACACATGTACTAATTTTATAGGTCTGAAATACAGTGTAGGGTATCGATATTATTTTGGGTCAGGTCTGAAATAGGGTTGGAAAATCACATATTTTGGTCTGAAATAGGGTAAGGCAGGCAGGTTTCAGGTTACATATATAGCATTTGCATTGCATTTAACCATTGTGGAAGAGATCTAAAGAGATATGGATTAACGTATTACCGACAACTACATGTACACTTTCTTTCACAAGAAATCTAATGATTGATCTCTATACAAAATACATGTACGTCATGTTCTACAAAATGGTTATAATCAAATCAGGGTTAGGCTTCAAGCTCAAAGAAAATTTCAAGGAACAATCACACAAGTATTGTATAGAAGCGAATTGTAGTGAATTAATATATCAAATAAAATGACTTTGCAGAATGAGACATTTCAATTTAACTAAACAAGCATTGATTATCAGTCTAATCAAAACTATTTATAACAAAAATAATTCTTGAATCTGATTGGTTATCAGCAGGCCCAATTTGAGCATTTTAATTAGGACAGTTTACAAGTCATGCCTGTGTAATTGAACAGTTTACACCTCATGCCTGTGTAATTGGACAGTATGCATCATTTACCGGAGCTGAAATTTGACAGTTGCACTTGAATGGGTTCCTGTGCTTGTGCATCTCCATCAAAAACAAACTCAATTGTTATGTTTTTATTCGCCAAAATGTTTTAACCGTTTAACATTTTTTGCTCTAATTTTGTTGCAATTATGATTAATTAGTAACAGGACTTTGTGTCATCCAATTCTGTCTGTAATCATACTCGTGATTAACAAATCGGACTCCCGCTACGTGGTCCTTTGATTTTGTTATTAATCACTTGTATGATTACAGACCGAATTGGACTCCACTCAGTCCGATTACCATTATAAAGAGTGTACAATTATACAATGACAAATGGTAAACAACACAACACAGGAATGTGATCTGAACAAGCCACAAACAAACAACTATTCTCAATAACAAAAATACATGGATTGACCAAAATAACAACCACTTGTACAATGAATACAAAAAAATGAAAGAAATTTCAATTGTACACAGTCACATATATATAATAAATATTCAAATCACCTTATTTACATAGCAGACACTAGATAACACTAGATAACATGATTAAAAATGTCCATCAATGAATATTAGGGATCATGAATGGTCCTCACAAAATTAGGGTTCTGCTCTAATTGCTCACAAAACTTTAATGGATGCTTGTTTGCTCATGCTTGCGTATGTTTACAAGTGCTCGCATGCTCAGTTTTTAGTAATTGGTATTTTTTTGCAATTATGTTCTTTG